GTTATAATGAAGGAAGGGCACACAGGACCTCAGTTAAGGTCAAATTTGAAAGTTGTACTGACCCTTCAGTATTTTGGCTTCTCCTAAAAGAAAGTGGCAGGAAGCTATTCAATTACAGAGGCATCACAATCAAGTGAATTCTGTCCTGACCCTCGGGTTAGAAAGATTTCTCATAGAGACACAGAGGGGTGGGGTCAGTGATGGCAATTGGGAGTTGAGCCTTGGCAGGTTTTAAACCAGCGGGGATGGTGTATTAGTGAAAAGGGACTGCACTGGGAGTGTCAGCCTTGATTAAGTGCTTTATGGGGACCTAAATCCACACTTTGAGGCATGTACTGCCCACTGGAGCCACAGCAGGAACAAGAAAAACAGTTTGGAGGGGCATTGAACAAAGAACAGGCAGAGAATGGTAAGAGATAACAAGGTGTAGAGCTGGATGAACACAGCAGGCCAAGCAGCATCAGAGGAGCAGGAAAGCTGATGTTTCAGGCCTAGACCCTTCTTCAGAAAAAGTCAGCTCAGGGGGAGATGGTGGCATTGTGGGCAGAGGTCTGGGCAGGTTCAAATGAAATTTGAATTCAATTAACAAATTCTAGAATTGAAAGCTGGCCTCAGTGATGGTGAACCATGAAACTATCATCAATTGTTGTAAACCCATCTGAGGTTTTGAGTGAAATGATACATTGAATGATCTGGCAAAGTAAATGAAGTTTAACGCGAGGTTATATTTGGAAGCAAAAGCACAAAGGCAGATAACTATCTGATTGGCAATGGATTGGGTAAGGGGGAGATACAGCAAGACCCAAGTGTCCTTGTACACCATGCACTGAAAATAAATACGCAGGTGCAGCAGGAGGTGAAGAAGGCTAATGTTATGTTGGCCTTTATAGTGAGTACAGGGGCATGGATGTCTCAGTGCAGTTGCACAGGTCCTTGGTGAGACCACACACCTGGAATATTGCATGTTATTTTAGTCTCTTTATCTGGGGAGGGATGATCTGGTGATGGAGGGAATGCAGCAAAGGTTTACCAGACTGATTCCTGAGACGGCAGGACTGACTTACAAAGAGAGACTGCATCGGTTAGGACTATATTCAGTGGAGTTTACAAGAATGAGATCTCATGGAAACCTATAAAACTCTAACAGGATGAGACAGGGTAAACATAGGAAGGATGTTCCCACTGACCAGGGAGTCCAGGACCAGGGGCTCACAGTCGAAGGATACAGGGTAGACCATTTAGGAATGAGATGAGGAGAAATTTCTTCACCCAGGAAGTGGTGAGCCTATGGAATTCCCTGCCACAGAAAGCAATTGAGGTCAAAAAATTGAATGTTGTCAAGAAGTTCTTAGGTGTAAAGGGATCAAAGGCTGTGGTGAGAAAGTGAGAAGAGGGAACTGAATTGGATGATTAGCCACGGTCATAGTGAACAAACAGAGCAGGCTGAAAGGGGTGAATGTGTTTCTATGTTTCCCTTTAGGGAAGGAAATCTGCCATCCTCACCTGGTCTGATCTACACATGACTTGAGACCGACAACAATGTGGAAAACTAGAGGGGCATGGGTTTAGGGTGAGAGGGGAAAGATTTGAAATGGAGTTGAGGGGTAACTTTTTCATGTGTATGGAATGAGCTGCCAGAGGAAGTGGTAGAGGCAGGTAAAATTACATTTAAAAGTCATTAGATTGGTACATGAATAGGAAAGGTTTAGAGGGAAATAGGCAAAACGGGAAACAGGCAAATGGGACTAGTTTAGTTTGGAAAATGTGGTCAGCGTGGATGACTTGGACCGAAAGGTCTGTTTCTGTGTTGTATGAATTTACAACTTTTAAATGCCCACTGAAGTGATCCCTGGGACTGGGTAACAAATGCTGGCCTTGCCTTTCACCCATAGAAGAATAAATTAATATGCAGTATAACTTTTTAGACTGGGATGATTGGTAGGGACCGCTCTCTCCATGAATCCCTCGTCCGCTCACACTCCCCACTAGCCCCACCACCCCTGGCACCTTTCCCTGCAACCGCAGGACGTGCAACACCTGCCCCTACATCTCCCCCCCTCACCTTCATCCCAGGCCCCAAAAAAACCTTCCACATCAGACAGAGGTTCGCCTGCACATCTGTCAATGTGGTCTATTGCATCCACTGTTCCCAATGTGGCCTCCTCTACATCGGGGAGACCAAGCAGAGGCTCGGAGACCGCTTTGTGGAGCACCTGCGCTCTGTTCGTGACAAATGACAACACCTCCCAGTCGCGAACCACTTCAACTCCCCCTCCCACTCCCTGGGCGACATGTTCGTCCTGGGCCTCCTCCAGTGTCACAATGACACCACCTGCAAACTGGAGGAACAGCACCTCATATTCCGTCTCAGGACCCTACAGCCCAAATGTGGATTTTACCAGTTTCAAAATCTGCCCCCGCACCCCCATCCTCATCCCATGACCAACCCTCCCTCCCATCCCCATCTCCTTGACCTGACGCAACCTGTCCATCTTCTCTCCCACCTATCTGC